TGACCCCCTACCAAAAGAAACATGTGACCCGAGCCGAGAAGCTTAGCATGATGGGCTTCAAAAAGATTCATAGGCTGTGAAGCAAGCTTGCGCGGCTTTAAAAAAAGCGGAGGGCTTGTGGGGGGTGGGAGCTGTGTTGCGTGCATGCCCATGCGATGACTACGTGCGTGTTCCCAGCGCGTCCATTCCCTGTCGCGTGCACGTCCGTATACGTCCCTTGTACCAGCGCATCCTTTCCCTGTTGCGTGCCTCCCCGCACGATGATTTCGTCCGCGCTGCCACCCACAAACTCCTAAAGCGTAAGCCCTGCGAGTTGAGACCCTAGACGTTAACGGCCTAACCAGTCCTAAACCTCAACCGTGCACCCTAGACCCTAAACCCCCAAACCCTAAACCCCCAAACCCCAAACCCTAAACCCTAAACCCTAAATCCTAAACCCTAAACCCTAAACCCTAAACCCCAAAGTCTAGACCGCACCCAGGAGCCCGCCGACCCCCGCGAGCACAGCGAGCTCTACACCTGGGGCCGCGCGACCAACTACCAGCTCCCTGGTGGCAGCCTAGGCTTAGGGTTTAGGGTTTAGGGTTTAGGGTTCAGAGTTTGGGGTTGAGGGTTTAGGGTTTGGGGTTTAGGGTTTAGGTTTTCGGGTTTAGGGTTTAGTGTTTGGGGTTTGGGGGTTTAGGTTTCGGGTTTTGGGGCTTGGGGTTTAGGGTTTCGGGTCTGGTTTTGGGGTTTAGGGTGTGGGGTTAAGGGTGTCGAGTTTTGGGTGTAGGACTTGGGGTTTGGTGTTTCGCGTTAGGGGTTTCCGTGTTGGGGTGTCGGGTTTAGGGTTTTGGGTTGAGGGTTTGCGGTTCAGGGTTTGGGGTTTCGGGTGTCGGGTCTGGGGTGTCGGGATTCGGGTGAAGGGTTTGGTGTTTAGGGGCTTATATAGGGGGGGCAATCAGGGAAGTACCCGGTTCCCGAAGTCTCCGCAAAGAACCAGTAAGAAGCAGGATCCTTAAGTTCACTGCAAGATCCGAAAATGCCCCCATAACCTTAACCCTGAACCCGAAACCCTGATCCCTAATCCTAAGCCCGACAGAAAGTTCTCAAAACCCTCCAAGCATTCGAAAACCCCGAATGCTGAATTCTTCGCCCCTAAGCTCCACTTGCTGGTTCTTAGTAGGGAAGTGGAGGAATGTGAGGGCCACATAAGGTGGATATAGGTTGGGATGTTCCCCCTTAAATTGCCGGGGAACATCCCAAGGTATAGGGCACTTAAGCCCCAAGCCTGAAATGGGAAATGTAAGGGCTACACAGGGTGGATATAGGGCACTTCTAAACCTTCAATCCTAAACCCTAAACCCTAAACCCTAAACCCTAAACCCTAAACCCCAAACCCTAAACCCTAAACCCCAATTCCCAAGCCCTAAGTCCTTACTTCCATACCAGCTAAGATCTAGATTCGAGAGGCTGGGCTATGGGGCCGGCACCGAGCAGCAGACCCCGAAGTTGGTGCCCGTTGTGGGAGGGGAGGGGTTTAGGGTTAGGGTTTAGGGTTTAGGGTTTAGGGGTTTTGGTTTAGGGTTTAGGGTTTAGGGTGGCTATAGGGTTGCGCTGGCGGTTTCGGAGTTCAGGATTCGGTATCCGAGTTGTAGTAGGACAGCCCCTGGCTGTGACCACCCAGCAAGATTTGGCGCAAGCCGTGACGTGGCGGTATGGGGGTTTCCGAAAGTAGGGGGGCACCCCTTTTACCCCAAATAGAGCAGCATCCCCTTAAGGGGACCCCCCAAAAAGGGTACCCTTATTCTTCGGAAACTACCGTACTGGCCTGTTTGCCGCGGCATCGTGCTCAGTTGTCGAATTTTATGAAAGTCTTCTTGAGTTGAGGATGTTGAGCCCTAAACCCTAAACCTTCCTAAGCCCTAAACCCTCAATCCGAAATCCCAAACCCTAAGCCCCCTAAGACCCTGAGACCCTAAACAGAGAGCCCATGGAGGTGCAGCTCCCCGGCACCACGCTGGTCACGCCTGGGCCTCCGTTTTTGTTTTTGGCATGGAATCAAGATCGGGGCCAAGCTCTTGGGTTGGGTAGGGCTTAGGGCTTAGGGCTTAGGGCTTAGGGTTTAGGGTTTAGGGTTTAGGGTTTAGGGTTTAGGGTTTAGGGTTTAGGGTTTAGGGTTTAGGGTTTAGGGTTTAGGGTTTAGGGTTTAGGGTTGAGGGGTTAGGGTTTAGGGTTTAGGGTTGAGGGAGTAGGGTATAGGGTGTAGGGTTTAGGGTTCAGGGTTTGGACTCTTATGCCTTATGTCTACATAGACTCCGGAGTTTAGGTGCATTGAAGACCCATGCCTTTGCGTGCCAGGAGTTTGGCGATTGTGCTTTGGGTGCTGGAACATGCGAAATGTGGCGTGCTCAGGCATTTGTCCTGCGGCCGCTTTCACAGCACTGCGGTGACTGCATGCGGCCGCTTGCCTGTGCAGGATGGCGGTCAAAAGAATATTCTTTGGCCGAAGTCAGACTTTTTGTGGCGAAGCTTAGTGTTCAGGGCTCAAGCCCTAACCTCAAACCCCATGCTCTCCGTAAGGTTTAGCGTTTAGGGATTACACCCTCAACCCTAAACCGCTCCCTGCGCTTTGGACAAGGACCTCGCCAGCAGGTTGCGATTCAGTTTGGGAGTTCGGGCTGGCCACCCCAAAGACCCGAAACCCTAAACCCTAAACCCTAAACCCTAAACCCTGAACCCTGAACCCTAAACCCTAATCCCTTCCAGCTCAAAATTGAGCCCTCAAATCCTACACGCCCCAACTCTCGAGTCGGAAGCCCGAAGTCCTATACCTCCACGCCGAAACCTGAAATTCTAAGTCCTAAACCCATGAACCAAATCCCCAAACTTCGAAAATCCAGACTCCGGATTGTTGAAGCCCTGAAGCCCTAAGACCCTAACTCCTAAACCCCTGAAACCCTAAATCCTGAAACCCGAAACCCTAAACCCTAAACCCTAAACCCTTGTGAAAGGTTATGGCCCGAATCAGAGACATTGCTGAAGTGTGATGGTGTAGGTGATGCTAACTGCTGGCGAATGCTAAAGGGGACATCATCGAGAGAATCATAATTCGAGGAAGCCATCATCAACAAGACATCTCCGACCCGGAACTCAAAAGTCAAAAGAACTCCCCCCAAACAACCTGGGTTCAGGACTACAGGGAGGGGAGGTCAAGGACAGGACTAGGGTACCAGGCTATCCCCGGGGTCCAACCCCCGAAAACACCCTGAATATCCCACCCCACCCAAGAGGCACTTCTCGATTTGCGCGTGCTCATTCTTGAGCCCGATATCGTCCGGATAGTGCGAATGATCCTGCAAGCGTGTCATCCTTGCGCAGGATACGCTCAAAACTTGGTACACTTCTTGATAAGTGCACCCTTGCTGCATGCCCACTAACACTCCTCCTTGCTGGAGCATTGTGCAACAAAGATCTAGCACATACCTTCGGGCATCAAAAGCAGCATATCACATCTACTCTCATGAAGAATGGGACCAGGAGCCAATGGGGCCAGGAGCCATGGGTCCAGTGGGGGTGGGGGTTGGAAGTGTGGAAAGGGTGGGGTGTGTGGGGGTGGGGGTTGGGGGTGGGGGTGGAGCCATGACGGGGCGGCAGGGTGCGTGCGGGGTGGGGGTGGGGGTTGCGGGTGGGAGTGGAGCAGCTCAAGGGATGAAGAATGGGACCAGGAGCCATGGGTCCATGAAAAGCATGGCGGGGTGCGTGGGGGGCTTGGGCAAGGGGAAAGTATGCGGAGCGGGAAGGGCGGATGGGTCCATGAGGGGTAGGTGAAGGGGATGGAGAGTGGGAGCATGGGCCAGAGGAGAGTGGGCGGATGACGCCAGGAGCAAGGGGGGCCCATGACAAGCACGGGCGGGGAGCGGGTGCGTGGGTGGTGGGGGTAAGGGCGGAGGGGAGCCGTGGGGCCAGAACCCATGGGTCCATGAGGGGTAGGTCAAGGGGATGGAGAGTGGGAGCATGGGCCAGAGGAGAGTGGGCGGAGCTGGAAGGGCGGAGGGCGGAGCGGGCGGAGGGCCCGGGCATGCACTGGGGCCCTTTAAAGTCAGCTGAAAAGCCACGGGCCAGGAGCCATGGGTTCAGTGGGGGGCGGGGTGCGTGGGGGGTGGGGGTAGGGGTTGGAAGTGTGGGTGGGTGGGGGTGGGGGTTGGGGGTTGGGGGTGGCACGGTATGGGGGTGGGGGTTGGGGGTTGGGGTGGAGCAGGGGCCATACATAGGACCAGCGTTGGCAGCCATGCAGGTCGAGTAATGAAGAATGTGACCAACACCAATGGGGCCAGGAGCCATGGGTCCAGTGGGGGGGCGGGGTGCGTGGGTGGTGGGGGTGGGGGTTGGAAGTGTGGAAAGGGTGGGGTGTTGGGGGTGGGGTGACGCCAGGAGCAAGGGGCCCGTGACAAGCACGGGCGGCGGGGCAGGGTGCGTGCGGGGTGGGGGTGGGAGTTGCGGGTGGGGGTGGAGCAGCTCAAGGGATGAAGAATAGGACCAGGAGCCATAGGTCCATGAAAAGCATGGCGGGGTGCGTGGGGGGCTTGGGCAAGGGGAATGTATGCGGAGCGGGAAGGGCGGATGGGCGGGGAGCGGGTGCGTGGGTGGTGGGGGTAGGGGCGGAGGGGAGCCATGGGGCCAGGAGCCATGGGTCCATGAGGGAGCTGGGTCCATGAGGGGTAGGTCAAGGGAATGGAGAGTGGGAGCATGGGCCAAAGGGGAGTAGGCCTTTAAAGTCAGCTGAGAAGCCACATCCATGGGCCGTGGACCATGAGCCAATGGGGCCTGGTCAGTGGACGGTCCACGCGCGAGTCAACAGCACCCCTACCTGAGAAACATGGCTACCTCTACTGATTGGCCACCTTCACAAAACTCTCAAAAGCAAGGGATATCGAATTCAGACAAGTACTACACTTCTTGAAAGATCTCGTACTTGTCACCTTTGGTTGGTACGTAGTGCATGCGTGTCTCGGCTACAGTCACTTCTTCAAGAGTCGCAGTCCAAGCCTGCCTTGTCGCAACTTCTCCTTGGACAACACCTTTGTGAGAGCATCCGCTTCAAGAGTATCCGTGCCCTTATGCTCCAATACGATGTTGAGCACGGCTATCTGGTCCCTGACATATGCACACCTCACCGCGAAGTGCCTTGTACGCATGTCTTGTGTGAAAAACCTCTGCCGCGTCAACAAGGTTAGCCCTCCAGAGTTATCGTTCTGCAACAAAAGCTCCAACTTGTGACCCACTAGTTCTGAAAGAGTCTCCTGGAATTTGGCTCCATCTTGAACAACTGTGGCGGTGGCTTCCAGCTCTGCTTCCGTCGCTGACCAAGCAACAAGCGCTTGCCTTTGCGAGCGCCAGCTAATCAAATGGTCTCCCATAAAAATTGCATAACCGGTCCTGCTGCGTGCTCCGCCTGGTGCGAAACTCGCATCAGCAGTCATCCTCACAACCTGCGACGGGGTCTCTTCATGTTTTGCGCGAAACATCAAGCGAACATCCCAAGTTGCCCTCAGAAAGCGCCAAATTCCACGCGTCAATCTCACACTCTCCTCAGGATGTGTAGCCACCAAGGTAGCCGCTATCCCAAGGCAAGCCGCCACATCAGGTCTGCTGCGCAAACTTATCCACATGAGCGTCCCCACCTCCTTCTGAGCGCGAAGTTTGGTTTGCTCAAACGTCTCGTCTCTGAGTGGCGGAGCCAGTAAGCCCTCCTTAGGCGTAGGTAGGCAGTCACTGCCTTTGAGGTCCAACCATCCGCGCTTTCGCAACTCACATGCCATATACTTGTGCTGATGCAACGCTAGATTGGCTCCATCCACCTCAATCTCTACCCCCAAGAAGCGCAACTCAGTCTTTGGCAGTAGCACCATGTCTTCATCAACTTGGATGCCCTGCTCGACCCCAGCGCCCTCCTTGTTCAAGACTCCTTGCCCCTTTACTGCCCATAGACTCTTCACAAAAGCCATCACCCGTCTGATGATTTCCGCATCCCCAACCACCAAGCCGTCGTCAACATAGCAACAAAAGGCTCCCAGCGTTTCTCCCTTAGAGTTGGTCACCTTCCATAGTCCGGCAGCCAAGCTTAACGGCTTCAAGTGTAGAGCGCCATGACGATCACCATCCTTTGCCTCCAGCTTTGCATGATCAACCTTATGGTCTCTTTCGCGCTCCCATTCTGTCGGTCCTCGGCGAAGGCCGTAGATCAATCTTCTGGCAATCCACAAGGTTCGAGGGCGCACCATACCCAAGTCCTTCATGACTTTCGGGGGCATGATAATAACCGGGTCTCCTGATGTGATTTCCGCGTTCAGAAATGCCGCCTCAACATCCAGACTGCCAAGTGTCCACGTGACATTGCTCGCTGCCAGAGAAGTAAAACATCTCACGATTTCTGGTGGAATATTAGGTGAACTCCAGGGTTCCCCATTATCGTCCACTCCTTGCTCAAAGTTTCCGCAGGCGCACAAGCGACTTTTTTCAAGCTTCTCCGAGGAACCGTCGATGTTAGGCTTCAGGGTACACACGACTTTGCTGGGTATAGGCTTTGGCAATGGCGCATCCGGAGGCAGCCCCAACTTGGACCTCAGCTCTTCAGGTAGAGCCTCTTCTAGAGCTCCATCCATCTTGGCATCCTCCTTCTCCAGCGACATTTTCCACGCCTCTCTGTTTTCCCCATAGAAGCCCTCAAGACCTACAACCTCAGCTTGCGCTGGTGCTATGCTAGCCTCAATCAGCTCTTGTTCCACTCGATTGGCCAACTGTTCCTCACCATACGACATCACGGTGTATCTGTTCTTCTTTGACGAAGTTGGGTAGTCTGGGGCATCAGCTTGCTGATCTTCAACCGCAACATGCTTCTCAGGATGTTCATCTGCTGTTGGATTGTTCACCATACTAGCAACGGCCGCGTCCGGTCCTTTGTGCAAAACCCCATGCGAAAAAAGGTTGAAAATCTCCCGCACGCTTTCAGCATCCCTCTTCTTGTCCAGCAGCTCCGCAAGTCTTTCAGGAATACTCTCCGGGTCTCTCACGTCTACTCCCCGGCGTTCCTCAAGCGTCAACACTTCAGAGGCAGGTGGCGCATCCCACGCAACTTTGCCCCGTGTAGAGACCCATATCGACTCCTCTGAGCGCGGATGTGTGGCCACTCTCCATCTTTCACTCACACGATTCAGCAAGATAGGTAGCCTTACCTCCCTTATCACCAAGCGTCCACCTCTTTCCACTAGCACCTTTGAACCATTTGCGGTATGCTCAGTGAGGCCCATGAAGATTCCGCGTTCTGTCCTGTCGGTTAAATCTGGAAGTAGATCTGCCGGCAATCTGCACAAAACATAATCTCCAGGCACAGGAAGATCCTTTGGAATTGGGATGTTCAAAGCACGCATCCGTTGAAGTTTTGCGCTATGCACCATGACCATATCCCAAAACTGTACATCCAAACCACCCCCAAGCAGAAACGTCGCTGTAGAACTCTTGAGAGCGTCAATTGTAGCCTCCACCCTACCATTGCTGGCATGTGAGTACGGCACAGAAAAAGTCCTGAAGTGATTGAAAGGCTTCAAAGCGTCCTGTGTCAACTTGGCCACGAACTCTTTGCCCTGATCCGAATGTATGCGAAACGTCACTTGTTCACCTCCAGTCATAGACAACAACTGGTACAAGATATCCCGCACAGCATCCGCTACCGTTTTCGCCTCCTTATTCGGCACAGGTCGGACAAAAGACAAATTCTGCGGACCTTTCAAGTGTACACACGCCACAACAGCATACTTGTTTCCAGCATACGACTTCCGATGCGGACCCGACAGATCAAGAGATATTACGCCATCTTGGATGTCCTGAGCGGCTATCTTTCGGTGTGGCCTGCGATGTCCACGACCTCTCAAACATGCCTCATCGGTCTTACAATACAAGCCCTCACGACAATGCTTCCACAAATCACACAAGGCAGCATCTTCCTCTGTGGCAGGCGTATACTTTTCCAAATCCCATGGCTCAAGTATCTCGGTGTGAGACTTATCTACGGCCTCTGACTCCCCCAGACCCTCAACATCACCATCATCATCAACATCAATCACTTCTGCTGCGGAGCTGATGTGTGTGAGATTTGACCCTGTGAGGACGGGGCCTTGATTGCATGCTGTGGTGGGGCTCTGGAAGCTGTGTGTGTGCAGTGCTCGGCGCTCCTCCAGCGTGTTCCAGCCCTTCGAATCCAGTAAGCACTCCCCAAATGGGACTGCTGTAGCTTGGAACGCTGCTATCATCTTCCGGCTCACGTCCTCCTGAGCAAGAGTCTTAGATGCAACCGCGACTAAGCTCTTACCCTCCAGCGTCTGGGACCGTTCGAGGTCACCAGTCTCAGCGATTGGGAACCCAAGCTCTGACAGTTCCATCCTCAACTCCTCGGTCCAGCATTTATAATTTCTCGGAGTGTATGCTGCTGCTACCAGCCGTCGGCCATCGAAGGGTTCCGTTCCATGCCAGCGCCGTCCATCAAAAGCGTACACCCCCTCCTTGATTGATATCTTCGTCCCACGCACAGGATCTTCATCCGACTTGATCAAGCGGAAGTCCTCTCCCGACTCATCCTGGACCCACAACTCACCCCCATCATAGTCCGTGAAAGTGGTGATGTACGTCAGGTAGTCCTTGGAGTTGTTGTCTCGATGGGGCTCCAACGCCACCGAATCCAACACGGCGATAGATCCAAATCTAGCATCGGGCATTTCCTGTCTGAAGTACCTTGCCAACAGTTTGGCAAGTGTAGGGTGTTGCTTTGTGACCTTCGTGACACCACTCATCCCTCCGTGAGCATAGCCTCCAAAGATCCAAGCTCTCACCTTGGATCCCTCAGTCCCATCACACATTACCTTGGCTCGCTGAGTCCTCGTAGAAGTCCTCGTAGAAGTCAAGGCTGCCAAATCAAACGCCTGCTGAATATCTTCCCTCGTGAGCTTGTCCTTGAGAAGAAGGCTTTCATAGCCCTTCTCCTCACAACGTACCTCATGGGCTTCAGCTTCCAGACTCGTCCACTCTACCAGGTCCTCCAGCTTGATGTGCAGGTTCTCTCGCTCACCTGCTGCAACCGCCGCTGCCTTCATCCTGAAGCCATTGTCCTGCCAGTGTTTCGACAGAACCTTCCGGATCTGAGAGAACTGAGACCAACCAAGATACGGGAGTCCATTCAGCACAGAGCATCGTACCTTCTGCGTTTGCCCCATGTACGGGTACTCTATCACGGCTTCTTGACTGGACCATGAAAATTTACCTCCAATCTCTATGATCCTCACGACCCCCAGAATCCACTCACTGCCCGACGCATTCAGTACCACTTCGCCATCCTTGGTCCGGAAACCATTGACAGTCTCGCCTGAAGCCAATACCACGCTCATCGGAATGGACTTTTTCCTGCAGATGTTATTCTGGAAAGGTCTGATAATTTCATTGGCTCCAGAATCCACCAGAACCCTACCGAATTCCACACTGTCCTCCTTCGCTTCCCTTGCATGATGAGCAGCCGGTCCACGTTGAACATCTGATGTCTGCTTCACTGGTGGCGCTTGCTTAGGGATATTGGGAGGTGCTTTTCTCGCTGGGGGAGGTTTGGGCTGAGGAACCACTGGGAGTTGTTTGCTCACTGGTGGCCCACTGGAAGACGCGCTTGGCCTCTGGGAAAAATCTGGGGGCCTCTTCCTAGGAGGAGTACGATAAGAGGACTCATCTCCTCCTGAAGCCTGCTTTGGCTGAGTTACCGTAGAAGGTCCAAGTGATGGCGGCGGTGAGGTAGTTGGAGATTTCTTCGGGGGAGCAGCCTTGGATAGTTCAGGCACTAGCTCTGGCCTGCTCTCTGCAGGGTACGGTGCATTCCAGGGTCTCACGACAGGCGCCGTTTCCCACTCTGACAGTGCCAAGAATTGCTCTTGTCCACTATCGGTATCCATCACCCACACCACATAGCCTTGTCTTGCTACGCCATCCTCATGCATCACCAACACCCGGCGGGCTTGGAGGATGATTTGTTCCTCTCCAACCTCCACATCCGAGATTGCTTCAGGATAGCCTTCCCATGCCAGAGTAAACCAGATGCCGATAGCAATGGCAGTTGGACTATTCACCCTTCGGAACTGATCGCATGCCCGAGTGCAGATCCATGACGAATTGTGTTGCCACTGTAGGAACTCCTCAGGTGACATCACAAGATACCATAGCGGATGTCGAACAGGAGTGATGTTCTCACGCCCTTCCTGATCTACGCCAGCTAAAGGATGCACATCAGACTCATTCTCATCCTCAATTCCCTGTTCAGACCTCGAACGTGCCGAGAAAGTTTCGTCGGAAGTCAATGCTATCGACTGGTCGGTGATGTACGACAACACTTCCGAACGATCAGCCTCAGAGCCCTCATCTTCAAACGACTCTCGCACAGCCATTGCGCAAGATCGCACTGCCGACGCTCTCGCCCCAGCACCAACTAACGGTCTAGCTGCTGCTGCTTTTGCCTCTGCTTTCGCTTTGGCCTTCGGTTTAAGTTTTGAGGGGTTTGTAGCTGTCGATTGTGCGGAGGTGTCTGCTGCCGCTTTGGCTTCCGCCTTGGCTTCAGCTTTAGGCTTAGGTTTGGGGGTCTGCCTTGACTGATCCGTTTTGCTCTTGCCATCGCCCTTGCCTTTGCCCTTGGCAGCTTTGGGCGCCGCGTGTGAATATTCACACGCCTCACCCTTCATGCACCCGCGCTCCATCATGTGGAACTTGCACACAGTGTCCTTTGGACTTCGCCCCTTTCCTTTTCCGGCATGTCGTCCTGCGGCCTGGGAAGCTTGAGAGTCCTCAATGTACACCTGATTTGACTTGCTCTTGGAGATCTCGTCCTCAGCTTGCAGTCGTCGGCCCTCTTGCACCAACGTAGTGAGCATCCTCTGAACCCCAGTCTCCGATGGTACCATTACCTCAGGCGTCATCCGAATCAAGTTCAATCTCATGGCCAACGCGGGATTTTTTCTTTCCAACGTCCGAGTCAGACCATCGAGAGATTTGATGACCTCATGGGCTGGTAGCCCAGGCAACTGCAAATACGTCGTCCGAGTTCGTGCCAAATCAAACTTCCGCAAGATTTCCAGGAGCTCCTTATAAGAATTTGCCGTCGGAAGACACCGCTGATACTGCAACAATGATGTCATCTCAGATGTGCCACCGGGCGAGAACCGCTCGATCACCGACTCCAAAAGCAAGAGGGTGGACAACGGCTCCTCCAAGCTTGTTGTGCGCTCCATCACCGGTTGTCTGATGGATGCAGGCAGTACCTTGATGAGCATGACTCCCAAACGAGTCTCATATTCTCTTTCTTCTGGTGGGATGCTCGGGACATCCTCTTCCACACCGCTACTCTGGCGCTGTTGATAGCGATCCAAGGCCTCCTTCATCCGTCGTCTGAAGAAAGCACCAAAGGAAGAAGCCACCACAGCTGCAATTGCTCCTGTCTCATTTTCCCACTGTCTCAAAACCAAACCTCTTTCCCAAGGTTCGTCAGAGTTCAGCTTCAGGACCGGGCAATCTTTAAGCATCTTCCACTGTCCAGCGGGCACCTTTTCAAAAGCATGTCCCGACCCAATGACTGAGGCTGAAACAAGCCAGGTGGTTTCCAAGAAAAGTCCCAGCTAGCCGGCCCCTCCCCCTCCTCCTCAGCAGTGTACCACTCGTCGATGGCAGGCTGCTGTAAAGATTGGGGAGACATCTCAAATCTCTGCACCTGGGTCCCTTCAGTTCCTGGAAGAGGTTGCCAGGAAGTCGTAGGCTTGGCCACCTCAGGCGGCTTCGAAGTCTGTTGGAATCGCACAGTCCGCTCAGGAACTGGGGCCATCAGCTGGCCTCGCTCCTCCAACGCCCTTTCTATCTGCTCGCATCTGGCCTCAAGCTTCACTGTGGCATCCGTCACTGACGCCAACTGCTCGAGGTCCTTCTTAGACGCAGCTTCCTGTTGGGCAACTCGCCTGTTTGCCAGTTCCACATCATGCGACAAGGCTTCCAGACGTGTCATAGTTGTACTCAGGAGTGCAGTTTGTGAGCGCATCGTCCCCACTGCAGACTCGAGGCTTGCAGGGTCCTCATCCTGCAACTGCTGAACGGCCTCCCTGGCCTGGTCGAACGCCAGGTTCAGGCCACCCAGCTTAAGATCAAGTTCCTGGAGCGCAGCCTGCTGTTGCATGCTGCTTTCTTCCAGTCGCGATGCAGCACCTTCAAGTGCCAATAGGCGTGCAGAGAAATCCTCTTGATTCTTCCACACACGGTTCATCTGGGCCACCAGACATTGCCTCTCATCGGAAGCGTCCTTCACTTGACCCTCCAAGACCATCGCCCCATCTCTCACCATCGAGGAAAGATCCGCCACCGCTGTCACTGCTTTGGACAAACTTTCCGTTCGAACGTTGAGCTCTTGTGCCAACATACCCATGCCCTGCCTCAGGGTGTCCAAATCTTGTAGGCCTCCAAGATTGACATTGGCTAGATGCTGCAGACTATGCAAGATCTCACTTGGGATTCGTAGTTGTGCCATCGATCGAAACAAGATAGCTGGAGCTTCTGCATCGGCATGTTGCTGCTGCTGCTGCTGCTGTGCTGATGAGGTGATGTGTGTTTGCGGATATGCGCCCGTTGGGCTCATAACCTGTGAAAGGTTATGGCCCGAATCAGAGACATTGCTGAAGTGTGATGGTGTAGGTGATGCTAACTGCTGGCGAATGCTAAAGGGGACATCATCGAGAGAATCATAATTCGAGGAAGCCATCATCAACAAGACATCTCCGACCCGGAACTCAAAAGTCAAAAGAACTCCCCCCAAGCAACCTGGGTTCAGGACTACAGGGAGGGGAGGTCAAGGACAGGACTAGGGTACCAGGCTATCCCCGGGGTCCAACCCCCGAAAACACCCTGAATATCCCACCCCACCCAAGAGGCACTTCTCGATTTGCGCGTGCTCATTCTTGAGCCCGATATCGTCCGGATAGTGCGAATGATCCTGCAAGCGTGTCATCCTTGCGCAGGATACGCTCAAAACTTGGTACACTTCTTGATAAGTGCACCCTTGCTGCATGCCCACTAACAACCCTAAACCCTAAATCCTGAGACCCTAAAACCCTAACACCACAAAGCCCTGAAACCCTAGGCCCAAAATCCTCGAACCTGGGAATGTTCCCCTTATACCAACAGTCCTTAATAGGGATTATAGTACCAACGATTCTGATCCCTATCAAACACTCTTTAGCATAAGGGGAACATGCCAACCCGAATTACCCCGAACCCTAAACCCTAAATCCTAAACCCTAAACCCTAAACCCCGAACCCTAAACCCTAAATCCTAAACCCTAAACCCTAAACCTCAAACCCTAAACCCTAAACCCTCAGCCGAGCTAAGGCCGCGTCTTCACCTGGGGCGTCGCGGGCGCCAGTGGCCGCCTCGGCCTGGATCTCACGAAGAAGACCGAGGCGGGCTGAGGGTTTTTTTAGCTCCAGGGTGGCCAAGCCCTAAGCCCTAATCCCAAGGCCCTACGCCCTAAACCCTAAGCCCTAAACCCTAAACCCTAAACCCCAAACCCCAAACCTAAACCCTTCGAAGCCTTCAACCGATGCAGGTCACTGGCGCTTGAAGCCCGAACCTGCCACAAAGCCCTCACGCCTTAAGCCCTCCTTAAGCCTTGAAGCCCTTAAGGGTTCTTAAGCCCTCAAGCCCCTAAGCCTTGCCCCTTAAGCGCTTAAGCCCTCAAGCCTTGCCCCAAGAAGCCCCAAAGAGCCCTATCCGACACCAGCTTGGGGAGGCGGTGGTGGTGGAGCCCGTAGCCCTGCCACAATTCGGTCCCGGCCGGGGCCTGAAAAGAAGGTGTAGGAAAAGGGCAGGAGGTTTAGGGTTCGGGGTTTGGGTTTAGGGATTAGGGTTTCGGGTTTAGGGTTTAGGGTTTAGGGTTTAGGGCTAGTTCAAGGGTCCGTGGTTTTCGGCTTAGGGTTTAGGGTTTAGGGTGTTGAGGGGTTGCAAGTTTGGGGGTCTGGCTTCGTGTGCAGGGTTAAGTGACCGGAGCAGAAACCCAAAAATCTAAACCGAAACCCGAAACCTAGACCCCAAATCTTTCTCACTCAGTAACACCTATATAGATCTCAAACCACGCACCCTCAACCCCAAACCCCTGGACCCTAAACCCTGGACCCTAAACCCTAAACCCAGGACTCCAAACCCTGGACCCTAAACCCTAAACCCTGGAACCCTGGACCCTAAACCCTACATGTGAATGATCCCCGAACCACAGCACATTTTGGGAACCCCTTTGTGTCGGCTCCGCCGCACATCGGGGAAACCACCTTAGAACGCCGTGGCCTGTTCACCATGTTGGCTCAAGTAATCCCTAGAGTGTAGGTCACTCATAGGTTGGAAGTAAGCGCAATAGCGTAACTGGAAACCGCCCGGGTGCACGAGACGGAGACTGAAGGCGAACATCAGTGCAGAAAACAAGTGCGAGACCATTTGGCTGGTGAGGAGCCAAAGCGTAGTGCAAGCAACTACCCGACCTCACGCAGGTTATCAGCCGTATAGCGGTTGCGACTTGCGACTACTGTACGGGCTGAGCTATGGCACTGCCAACCTCGTCGTCGAGTGCCGACACAACCATGACCTTCGGTGATGGTGATGCTATTGCTGCACCTGCATTGGGCGAAAGCACAGGCTGCGCCGACACAGATGCGGTTACATCATCAGATGATGCCGTTGAGCTGGTCGCGGTTGCGAAGGCACCCGCACGAACCAGAAGTGGTTTGAGCGTACTGCGTGAAGATGGAAACTCGAAGATGAGTCAAGTTTCACGCCTCAGATCCACTTCCAGACAATCATCGGAACGAACATCAAAGAGATCCAACACTCCAAGTACTCCACGACGAAGAAGAGGCACTTCTCCACGAATCTCTCCACGATCCTCGCCGGACGCCGGACGACCGGAAACGTCACCGCGAAGAGGGTACGGTGGCCCTCTTTTGGGTACCGGCCTCCCCAGTTCGGAACCTCCGGCTGGCGGTAGGAGCGGGCTTGATTCGGGTCCCCCGGTTGAGTCTGCTAACCCTCTAGCGGAACGAATCCGGGAAGAAGGCGAAAGGCGGGAAATGGGAGAGGTCATTGCCATGTTGCGACTGAAGATCGAGGAGATGCAACAGGAAGACTATGGGGCATCACTCAGGATCGAGCAGCTAGAACGCGAACGTGATCAGAACGCGCAACTGGCTGCTCATATCCATCAACGTCACGAAGCTACACTCGCTGAACGTGAGCAAGTCGTTGGTGCCACGATCGCAACGCTGGAGCAACATGCTGCCGACAATCATCACCAAGCGACGATGACTCAGGAGCAGTTGATGCACCAGCAACGCGAGATGGCGCAGTACATGGTCAACGTGGAAGAAGCGGCCCATGGTGAAGGAAACACGATAGCTCGAGAATATCAGCGACTTACAGAGGAGCTGAACATTCGAGCACATGAAAATCTGAGAAGGCGAGCCGATCTACAACAAGCCGAAATCATTGTGGCCCAGATGGAAGATCAGCTGCGAACCTCCGAGTTTGCACGTGAAGCATCCGAGAAGCAGAAGAGCGAGATGCGAGAATATGCTCATCATGAGAGCGTGGCATTGCAGGATGAACGCGATCAGACCAGGCTCTTGAACGTGAACATTCATGGCGTCATCGTTCAGTACCACGAAGAAGAAGAAAGAGCAGCTGCTTTGAGACAAGCTGTGCACGAAATGGAGCAGCGATTGGAAGGCCAACATGCTTCGTTGCCTAGCATCCATGAGGAGCTGCAAAGGGTACGAGCGGAATGCCAATCTCATGAGGACGTCAATCGACGACTGACATCGGAATTGGATGCTGCGAGACAGGTTCAAACGTACAACCGACCTACGTCAGCCGGAACGTCTGAGTGGGATAATGTTTCTTCAGTGCCTAGGGTAGGTGTGCATAATTCGCGTCCACAAAGCGTTCAATCCCGTTCAGGAATAACCCAAGCTTACAGCAGTCCGGAAGAAGTTGATCGTGATGTGCCAATGTCATCTACGACGGAATCGAGGTTCAAGACATGGGTCCAGAACACCATTCCTGGGGTGGGTTCGGCTTCGCCGGCTCATTCCCAGGGTGGAGATGCCTCAAAGGAGGGTTCGGGTCCCCCGGCTCTTCCCACGAGGCCATCGTTGTTCGGAGGACCACCTATTCCAGTGGCAGAAAGCCGACCGACTTCTACAAGGACATCGTTATTTGGTGGACCTCCCGTTCTCGTTCCAGAAGTACCATCAGTTCCCAACCTGGTTCCGGGAAGGATGTTCACGACAGGTTTGCTGGACTTGCCTCCTGGCTTGGCTACCAGACCACACACCTCACAGTTACTTGCTGATCCACCTACGGCGTCCACGTCCTACCAGTGTGTGCGGCAACCATCGCGTTCGCGGCATACGGGCGAGGTCACGCCTGGAATGGCTTCAGAAATTCCTCCGAATGCTCCCAATCATCCTCAAGATCCTCGCGCAAACGCTTCGACAACTGTTCAGCAAGAAGCTTTACGAAGGCAAATGGATGATCTTCGGGAAGAAATGAGCAGAATGAGAGACACCGAAGCTCGTCTTCGTCGTGAACGAGATCAATGGCGTACAATTGCTGAAGAACAGGAGCAAGAGAATGAGGGTGAAGAGGGAGAGAACGAGGAGGAAGGCGAACCAGAAGAGGACGGAGACAAAACAGACCCCGGATCCTGGAAGCCAATCAAGAAAGGAGGTGGAGGAGGTGATGGTGGTGGCAATCCAGACTCTTCTCCCCACGGTGGTGGTGGAGGAGGTGGCGGTGGATCTGGACCCGAAGATGGACTTGATTACACCGAAGGGCCAAAGATATCCCGAAGAGAAGCCGACAAGATCAACATTCCTGCGTTTCCCAAGGTCACTCACTTGGACGCTTGGCAGGCAGCAGTCACCACAAACGTCCTGGCCGCGTGTGCGGATACCAATCAAAGCGACTGGATCAAATGGCTGCAAGAGTCTTTCAAGCCGATGCCGGATGTTGAAGGGCTCAATGACTCGGGACATGTCAAGTTCAGAAGCATCGACGTGAAGCTGGCAAGTGCGATGACTCTCATGTTACGGAATGCTGGAGATCAAGCAGCCGATCTGTTCTTGGAAGTGAACCTCAAATCAAACGCGTACATTCGCGGGAACGAGTACAAGGTTCTGAAGGGACGACAGATCATTGCTATGATGATGGAAAGCTTCCGCACACGGGATCGCCTTGACATGGTTTACACGATCGATTACCTGACCAAACTGCAGTATCCTGGGGACAACAAGATTGCCGCATTCAAAGCAACGTGGCTAGAGATCATCTCTCGGATTCGACCTGAAGATGTACCTTCCACGAATGCCCTCCGCGACATCTTG